TGATGAGTATAATCCTAAAAAAAATAAATTTTATTTTTGGCTAGCCTTGCCATGCCGTCCCGGATGAACCTATCTTAATCGGGCCCTAATTAAAGCCCGTCACTGATAGCTTTGACCCAGACGACATGTCAAACTATAACCCGTCACGGATGACCTATCTCAATCGGGCCTAAACTATAGCCCGTCACCGTGAGCATTAACTATAGCCCGTCACAGATGAGTCATCTCAATCGGGCCTAAGTTAATGCTCGTCACTGATGAGTATAATCCTAAAAAAAATAAATTTTATTTTTGGCTAGCCTTGCCATGCCATCCCCGCCCCTCTCATGCCAATCATTTTTTTTTCCTTACTCGTGTGCACGAAGTTCACTTCCCGATCGGTCACCTATCCTGAAATTGTTCCAGGCCAAGCACGCTTAATATCAAAGTTATTTAGAGATCGGCTTCCAGAAGAGTAGCTCTATTAATCCTATTAAGCCCTAGGCCGGGATATGTCACACCCCAACATCCCCCATTCATATACATTCATTCACATACACAACCATCAAAAATCATAAACAACAAAATTGTATAACTCATCGAGATCTACAACTATTGTATCGGTCATTTGTACAAATAAGTTTATTTGAACAATTCAAATTTTGAATTTTCAAAATTTGACAACTTCGAAGAAAAATTAGGGTTAATAAATGATTTCAAATGGAAAAGTCACCAAAACCAAAGTTGTAGAGCTCATCGAGATGCAAAATTTTTATTTTGGTCATTTCTCCATCTGACTCTATTTAAACAATTTGAAATTTGAAATTCAAAGTTTGAGAAATTCAAATAGAATTTTTTGTTAGTGAACGACTTCAACTGAAAAAGTCATCAACAACAAAGTTGAATAACTCATCAATACCTATAACTTTTATTTTGGTCATTTTATATATAATATTTTTTTAACCGTTTGAATTTGAATTTAAAAATATGACAACGTCAAACAACATTTTCAAATACTAAATGATTTCAACTGAAAAAGTTATCAACAACAAAGTTGAATAACTCATCAAGATCTATAACTTTTATTTTTGTCATTTATTCATCTGATAGTGATAGTAATATTGTTCACAAAATTGACATATCTCTTATCTGGTTTTATAAACTATACACATATGTAAAATTTATGAACAATGTTACTATCATTTTATCAGATGAAGAAATGACCAAAATAAAAGTTATAGATCTTAATGAGTTATTCAACTTTGTTGTTGATAACTTTTTCAGTTGAAATCATTTAGTATTTGAAAATATTGTTTGAAGTTATCATATTTTTAAATTCAAATTCAAACGGTTCAAAAAAATGTTATATAGAAAAATGACCAAAATAAAAGTTATAGATCTTGATGAGTTATTCAACTTTATTGTTGATAACTTTTTCAGTTGAAATCATTTAGTATTTGAAAATGTTGTTTGAAGTTGTCATATTTTCAAATTCAAATTCAAACTGTTCAAAAAATGTTATATAGAAAAATGACCAAAATAAAAGTTATAGATCTTGATGAGTTATACAACTTTGTTGTTGATGACTTTTCCATTTGATATTATTTACTACCCGTAAAATTATTTTGACTCGTAAAATGAATTATTATACTGCAAGTTAATTATTTTGCTATAGTTCAACTTACAAATATAAACATTTTATATGAAAAATGAAAAAATAATCATCGGTGACGGGCTTTAATTAATGTCCGATAGAGATTAAGTGATTAAGTCATGTCAAACTGGGATTAGTATATAGCCCGTCACTGATGAGTCATCTATGACGGGCCTTAAGTTGGTGCACGTCACGGATGATGGTCATCTGTGACGGGCCCCAACTTAAGGCCCGTTTGAGATATGGAATGTTATCTCAATCGGGCCTAAAGTTGGTGCCCGTCACGGATGATGGTCATCTGTGACGGGCCCTAACTTCAAGCCCGTTTGAGATATGGAATGTTATCTCAATCAGGCCTAAACTACGGCCCGTCACTGATAGGTGTCATCCGTGACGGGCTTAAGTTTTATGTCCATCTAATATGTCTGTGCGACCATATCTCAATCGGGCACTTTTTTAGCCCGATTGAGATGACTTTCTTGTGACGGCCCGCTATTTCCATGCATGTTAGAGCCCGTCACAGATAGAAGGATCTGTACTAGTGACATAAATTTATAAAATCTTAAAAATAGATATTAATTAATATATACTGTATGTACAACATACACTATTTTTGTGAGCAACATATAAAGCAAAAACTAGTCCATAGGAAATTGCTTTATTATTTTTGAAATATTGGATTTTGCTTGGAATACATTTATTTTTCAATTGGTCCAGTTTATTTAGGTTTAACATGCAAAAATGTGAAAACAAAAAATAAATCATGAATTTTGAGGAAAAAAATAAAACTGAGAATTATAAAGTCAAATGGTGGTTGTCTTCCTCAGAAAAATAACAGTGACATGGCTGTTCCATATGGTGGTTGTGTTGATGTGTTCTCCCAAGAAACAACCACCATTTGGCACTATAAATTAATATTGAAAAATCTGTTTGGAGAGGCCTCTTGATTTTGCCTTAACTAGCGACGTCTAAACACGGATAAACGTGGAGAAGTCCAGCTACTACATGGTACTACATGCATGCTTTTTTTTTACTATACATGTACGTCATTTTCCTCTTCTAACAAAGTTTTCTCTCAAATTACTTATCCGATCTATAATCCGATTACACCACTGTGTTCGTTACAATTAAATCTTCACAACAAGATCTTACATGATTAGATTACGATGAAAAAATATTTATATTTGTAAATTACTTTTATTATATATGTAAGTTACTTTTATCATATATATAAGTTACTTTTAGAGTTGGCTAAATTACTTCTTAGACATATAAAAGTAAATTTAACAGAGTCTAAAAGTAGGGATAAAAATATGACTTTATCTAGAAATTAAATTTAATCAGCACTGATCAACACACATAAGTTTAACAATTTTTAAAAGTAACTTCAATGTTAATTGGAAGTAACTTTTGCATGGTTCAAAAGTAATTATCTATAAATCTGTTTAATCATCGATTGTTTTTTTCCTTTCATTTTTGTTTTTCATGTAGAATGAGAAAAGAAGATACTATTGTATTTTTCAAGTTGAAAGGAGATACTAGATGGAGTACAAACTAGCTACCACTAACTGTGTAGTCACATCCAATTAAAAAAGACATTCATTAAAGTTATTTTCTTTTTGTTATAAGTTACTTCTATAATATATGTAAATTACTTTTAGGCTTCATTGAATTTACTTTTACATGTGTAAGAAGTAATTTAGTGAAATCTAAAAGTAATTTAGATATATTATAAAAGTAATTTATAATTTTTCATCAAAATATAATCATGTGAGATCTTGTTATAAAGATTTAATTGCTACAAACACAACGGTGCAATCGGATCATAGATATGATTAGTAGTTTAAGAGAAAATTGTATTTAAATTATATGTGGATAATATCTCTCATAGATGAAGTGGTAGCTGGTTTAGACAAACTAGCTGTGGAGTCACGTCCAATTAATATACAGTGGTTTCTCCTTGTATGTCAAGTTTCCCATTGCATATACTGCTCCTTCCAATAAGAAATTAGGTAAATCCCTGGAGGATAAGTATCCACTTTTTCAATGGAAACTTACTTAGGCATGACTGGAGGGGACGGAGAAAACAGCTATGCGAAGAACTCGAAGATACAGGTTCGTACACACTATGCTTCCTTATTTTCTAAAAAATTTTCGTACACACGAGTTAATCTTTTCCTTAATGCATGGGATTATATATCACTATTTGTACTTTCTGGGGAATATAATCTCGTGAGTGCTTCCGTTTGTGTATGCATATCCATGTGCATGGAAACTGACTTCCTGTTTAAGCGCATCAAACAAGTATGCCTAATAAGGTCTTAGTCTTTTTTTTCTTGGTCTTCTTTTACTCTAAATTATAACTTACCTATGTTTTGTTAAGAAGTTTTTTAAACTATTAAATGGTGTGTTTTTAAAAGAACTTTTCATATAAAATTTCTTTAAAAAATTGCTCTGTTTTGTTCGAACATAAATTTACTCTGTTTTGTTCGACATTCTAGCTTGTGTAAATACTATCTTCTTTGATTTCATAGGGCATATTTAAACTTGAAATACAGTCTATTTTACTCCCTGGAACTAAATAAATGAATCACTTAACCCCATTAACTATTTTTCTTTGCTTATTTTACGCCTAAACTATATTGAAAGTGATTCACTTTACTCCCTAATAATATTTCTATTTTTTCCTATTCTTTTCACAAGTTTTATTTTAAGCCTAAATTTGTTAGAGCCATAGATGGCACCATTATCAAAGTTGAAAAAAAATCAAACTTGTTCATCGCTGTTTGCTTGACCTTTAAAATTTTGATGTTCAAAACAGTCTTAAGGGCTTCCAACCTACATAAACAGTGAGAAAATTTCAAAATAATATTGAGATGTAAATTGTGAATGCATCTATATTTTACCAAATTTTCAGTGTAAAGTATGACTGATATATAAGGGGAGTGAAAGTGAACCTTTTTAATAGTTCAAGGTGTAAAATGAGTCAAAAAGTTTATGCTTCGGTGAAATAGTTCAACTGTTGACTGTCGATTTATCATTCAATGTATTTGAAATAGCTTTTAAGTAATTATCTTTAATGAACTTTGAAAGATGAATCGATTGATATAAATTTAATACGGTAAATGTACTTGTAGTTTAATTAATTATTACTTATTCCTTTACAAAGTTTGATGTTTTGTACATTATAAAATACGTCAAAGGATATACAAAATCCAGCTGTTATAATTCCAATCCAATTAACTTTATTCAATGTGCACATGGATGTTACTAGGCAAAAGCTTTGCTTGCAACTAAGCCAATGATTGAGGAAGCAATACAAGAAGTATATACTGCACTCCTCCCTAAGACGATACTTGTTGCCGACATGGGTTGCCCTTCAGGACCGAATACACTAGTCTTCATCTCTGAGGTGATAAAAGTGATCAGCAAATATTGTGCAAGCATAGGTCACCACCCAGTTGACCTTCAGTTCTTCCTGAATGATCTGCCTGGTAATGACTTTAATTACCTATTTAAATCATTAGAACAACTTGATAATTTGGTCACCAAAGATCAAGACCAAGAAGCAGATACACTGCCGCAGTACTATGTTGTTGGATTGCCAAGATCCTACTATACAAGGGTGCTCCCTGACAAGAGTGTTCACCTCTTCCATTCATCGTATTCCCTACATTGGCTTTCCCCGGTAATTACATCAACACGATTATCTCATCGAGTGCTTAATTCAGTTATGTAATTTTGACGTGAAAGTGTGCAAACTGGTTAATAACCCTTAAAGATTTGTACTGAATATCCATGCTGAGAGCATTAATGATACAACATAGTGCGTTACTCCGTTTCTGTATGTACAACTCTTGGATCTAATAGATCACCAATCCACTAGAATGTTTTGACTTAAAGCTTGTAAACCATGAGAAATTAGATCTTGCTAACTCTTCATCCCATAGTATAAGCGTATTAACTCCCATACAATCTTCACTATTGTACATTGATCTTTTTCTCATTATGTTTATTCATTATTTTAGATAATGAAAATTGTTTACATTTCCGGCCACAGCCATTAGACACAACCATTGAGTTCTGATACCTAAAATAGAGACATAAGGTGATGGGAGAAACCCCTTAACTCCCTCTAGAAAAGTTTCAACTGAAAAAAAAATCCAAAATCACATACATTTAAGCACGACATTTGGTTGGTACTACGTCATCTAAAAGTGAAATAAAAGAATTGGCTAACGATTCCTCAAGTATAGTGTCACTGCGCATAGTATCATATTCTTGCTGTGATACCATCAAGGAGAAAGAGTGGAGTCAACTGTGGTACATGTGAAGATAATCAACATTATACTAGACAACTTTTAATTGTTGAAAACCTTATCATTATGGCAATGTCAAAATGACCAACATAATGTACTCAACCAGCCAACTTTTTTATGGACCTAGGCACTCCCTATAGCCAATTTCCAAAACTAACTTTGAAATTACAAGCAACGTGGCAGACTGACAGTCAAAGAAAATATGATCAATAGTTTCATGCATACTTAAAAAGGGAAAATGTCCGAGTTACCATGAACTATTGTTGTTCAGGGGGTAATTTGGTGGACTAAAAAATTCAGGGAATAATTTGGATTTTTTTAATTAAAAATAGCATTGCTTGTTGCCCTCCAATTCCTCTCGGCCAAGTTTTTTTTTTGTTAGCATTCAATTTATATGATGGAACCACGTAAAGACTTTGATCTTTAATGGTAGATTTAATGTTACTCAACTAGTTTGTGAATCAAATCATTCCTCTCCTCTAGCTTGGGTTCTACAATTGACCTTTGAAATGAAATATATTTTATTATTAATTATGAAATCAACATACTACGGAAGTATATTCCAATACAAATATTGGATAATACAACTCGTGTGCAACTAAACATATATTTTGTTAGTATAATTATTAGTCAAAAGCTACAAGTCTTGGGTTTTATGTATAAAAATATGCACATTTTATATTTTAGATAAACACAATATTTCTTTTTCAAGTATAAAGGAATCACATCTGTTTTGCACCCGGCATTACATAATGTATAGTAGAGATAACTCCATATATATGTTGCATTAATTGTGAGGAGTAATATAGTACTCCTCTCATCAACTATTAGGTTCAAGAAATACCCCTCAACTATGAAATCGAAAATTTTACACCCCTCAAATATCAAAAACAAACAAAATAAGTGAACCCTAAGTATAATACCACCTGGTTTTTTATCTTTGTCCACCTTGACCCAGTGTTTGTGCCACTTATCTATGTGGGTTATTGATGCGGCTTCAATATATATTTGTTAGGCCCTATTTAGTTTCCACACAAAAATTTTACACCCTGTTATATCGAACATTTGAACACCTCCTTGAAGTATTAAATATAGGCTAAAAAAATAACTAATTGAACAGATTGCGACTAATTTGCGAGACGAATCTTTTAAGCCTAATTGCTCCATGATTTCACAATGTGGTGCTACAGTAAACATTTACTAATGATGGATTAATTAAGCTTAATAAATTTGTCTCGTGGTTTACTGATAGATTCTGTAATTAGGTTTTTTTATTAGTGCCCGAACATCCCATGCGACACCTTATATAATACTCGATGTAACACGCCAAAACTTTACACCCCTGAATCTAAACACCCCCTAATCAACATTGGTGAATCATTGGTATATAGACTACATTCACCGTGGATAGGTTTTCTAGGAAAGTGCCCTCAACGCGCGCTTTGCCTTTGACTTGTGAGGTACCCTATTTACTCATTTTTCTTTTTTTTTACTGAATATTTACTTATTTTTCTTATTTGTGCAAAGTGCTATACCATTGCCGTTGCTATTATTAGGAGTCTTTGCATATTATATATTGATACAAGTGGTACTTCTCATTCATGTTGTTGATGGTCTAATTGTGGTAGTGTGCGGAACTAAGCACTGGATTATAATTCATTTTGACCCTATGATTACATGCTTGTACAAATTAATTGATATGTGATCAACTTTTGATATACTCCTATTCATGCTCTAATTTAACTATTTTATTACCATTATATTGATAAGTTGATTCCTGATTGCATGCTAAATAAAGCTTAACCACTAGTAGAAAAATGATTTTCATATACCACTCACCCTTAATTTTGTAGACGGACAAAACTGCAAAATGCATGCTTAGATTACCGAATAAAGGGAGTCAAGAGCCGCCCGTGTAAATATAATACCACGAGCTGCCACTGAATATAGCTACCCGTAAAAACCAATTCTACTTTTGAGGGTGTCATAGTAACACGATTTTCGTAGGCGGCTATCGTAAGTCACCGCCTACAAAAGTAGGTTTATGTACACATGCAATGCAGGACAAACGGCCGCCCATGTCAATGACATTTTCCTGGCAGCGCACTTTGAAAAGCACACCTGTTTGTGTCCATTCATATTCTTCGTGCAACTACTTTAAGTCTTCAACTACATCCACTACCATACACGAGAACATCGTTCGCTTCCTCCTTTGAAGACCAATCAGCTGATCGCTGGTCATGTGCTCCGTTACCACGGCACGCCTCCTCACCTCCCATGCCTTATCTTTGTTCCAATAAGTAGGGGGCAATGGGTGTTTTCTCGCCTCTCACCTCGTCTCCCACTCACTCCGGTCACCTCGCCTCCCCACCTCCTGTCTATCTCTCTCCGGTCATAGTGGACTCACTGCAGCAGCTGCAGTATATCACCACCAGCGAGAGAGAGGTGAAGAATGGTGGGGACACCTTGTCGTCATCGCTCCCACCAATGCTATATGAAATACCTGACGATGAAGTGGACAACTACCTCGATCACTAGTAGAACGGGTCCCTCCCAAAGGACTCTGACGAGGACCCTCATTAGAGGATGAGGAAGAGGATGGTGAGAGCGACAATGAGGCCAACGATAGGATGAGGGTGGCAGAGGACAAAGCACCCGAAGAGGTCATGGAGGTGAAGGGAGAGGAGAAGGCTCCGAGATCCGATCGCCGTGGCTATGGGCAATGTTGTCTAGGACAAGGCGTGGTCGGTGCAAGAACCAAAGCGTTAGTGACGGTGTGTGCGTGTGTGTTGGGGGAAGGGGGGGGATGATTGCAAGGTGCTGGAGTTGGCCCCCGGTGCGGTTAAAGCCTTGGGCTTTGTTTACCTTAGCCCTGAGTTTGTGCCACTTATCTATGAGGGTTGTTGCGGCCCTGCTAAGCAGCCAAGCTTCAATAGTATCTCTGTTGATCAACGTTGGTGGTACAGAGACCGTGGATAGGTTTTCTAGGACAGTGCCCTCAACACGCTTCGCCTTTGACAAATATGAGTATTTTTTTTTCTCTTTTTTGACTGAACATGATAATTTTGTCATTGCACTATGTTGTAGCCCATAAGGATGACTAAACTAGTCCATGGTATAATGTATATTTTTAATACATTTTACACATTTCCTTTCAAAAATTTGAAGAAAGATGCTAGCTATCCGCTATCCCCATGCTTAACGTATAATTTAATTTTGTGTTATTTTAATGGATTTTCCATGACACATTTATGAAAGCGAGGATGCACCGATCGTGATAGCGTGTCATGGAAAATCCAATTAAAGAACACAAAATTAGATCTGGGAGCCAAATCATACAAAATTAAAGAGCCAGAATAACACGACCACGCACTCCGTATGTTCCGCTGGGAAGCTCCCGATGAAGTGTAGGGGGAAGACGATCGAGAGTGGATCCGTCAGTGCAGGTCATTTGCCAGATCCTGGCACTTTCATGGATGGACTCGCAGGCATGCATATAATAAAGCCGCTCTCTAACATTTTTTTTTTCTTTGATGATTGGAAGATTTGAAATGCCAACCATAACGTAGTTAGAGGATGCAAAGTAGACTTAGGTTGAGTTCGAAACCACATTTAAGCTGGAGCGGGTTACTGCTCATAAAACAGAACTAATCATTATAACACATGATTAATTAAGTATTAACCATTACAAGTTTAAAAATAGTTTTTTTTATGTTTTTAATGATTTTATATAGAAAATATTTGCACATGACACACATCATTTAGAAGTTTGAGAAATGTGATAATGAAAATCGAGTAAATTGATGTTTTGAGTTGTTGTCTCTATATATAAGTCAGCCTTATAACTTTTTCTATTTGTAAAGCCAGTGATTTCTTGTGATCACAATGATTCTGCTTGCAGATGTTTAAGGAGAGGTGTGAAAAGGAACCCCAAAATGAAGGAAACGTTTACATTGCGGTGACTACACCTGAAGAAGTGATAAAGCTATACCAGGAGCAATTTGAAAAGGAATTCTTGAACTTTCTTGAGTTGCGTTCGGAGGAACTCATATCTGGTGGTAAGATGGTGCTAACTTTTCTTGGACGGAAGAATGACAACATATTTGATGAAGATAAAAATATTCTTTATGAATTAATTTCACAAGCATTACAATCACTTGTCATTGAGGTTTGAAACAACATCATTGTTTCAAAGTTTTTAGATTTTATCTACTCTCTAGTTTTCATATTACAAGTCATTTTGATTTTTTAATACTTTTATAGGTTTTGCTAAATTTATATAATAATATAAAAATATTATAACAGTATTTTTGTTTCATTAAGACTAACGTTGAATATATTTCAATAGTATGTTTGTTTGGTGTTAAAAATGTTGTTATGTTCTAAAAGTTTAGCCAAACATTAAAAAGTTTAACTGATAAAAAAGTTAATGAGTAGAAACATGTAAGACTTTGATATAAAACCAGAAAGTAACTTACTTTTCCACAACAGGGCCTCGTGGAGAAGGAGATGCTTGACTCCTTTAACATTCCATTGTATGGACCATCGGTCAATGAAGTTAGAACAGCCATCATGCAACAAAAGCTTTTCTCCATCAACCACATCAAAATACTCGAGTCAAGCTGGGATCCACAAGATGACGAATTCGAAGGACATACTGTGCTAGACCCTGTTGAGTCTGGGGTGAACGTCGCCAAGTCCATAAGAGCAGTTATGGAGAGGTTGTTTGCTACTCATTTCGGGGAGTCTATAATGCCATTGCTCTTCTCAAGGTTCGCAAGCAATGTCACCAAATACATTGAGAAAAACACAACTAGAAAAAGCATTTTTTCCAACGTGGGAGTCCTATTTTCGCAGGCGGACATGACCCATAGAGTCAAATGACCTCCTACAAAAATATAAATCGAGGTGAAATTTGATGTCCAGGCGGACCACTTAAGCGGCGCCTGCGAAAATAGACTTGGGATAGGAGAAGATTTTTTCTAAGTCTCCACACCTTCACCACTCACAGCCGGCAAGCTTATCCCCTCACCTCTCTCATTCACCTCTCCTCCTATCCCCACCTCACCTCTCCTCTCCCCTCCCCTCCCGGCGGCGGCGGCTGGCGACGGGCGGTGGCGGCGGAGGGCGGCAGCGGCGGAGGGCGGCGGCGGCACGCTCCCGGCCCCTCCTCCCAGATCTGGCAGGAGGGAGCAGGGGGAGAGCGGTGGCCGGCGGATCTGGCCGGAGGGGGGCGGGGGGAGCACGGCGGCGGGCGGTGGCTGCGAGGAGGGTCGAGGCGGTGGCATGGCCACAGCGGCGAGGGTGGTTGAGGCGGCGGCGGCGACTCCCGGCCGCCCATCTCTCCCAGATCTGGAGTGACCACGGTGGGCCGTGGCCATGCGGCGGCGGCGCGGACGACGGCGGGCCGCGGCCGTGCTGCTGCGGCGGCGACGGCTCCCGGCCGCCCCTCCCTCCCAGATCCGCATTGATGACGGCGGGCCGTGGCCGTGCGGCGGCGGCGCGGACGACGGCGGGCCGCGGCCGTGCTGCTGCGGCGGCGGCGGCTCCCGGCCGCCCCTCCCTCCCAGATCCGCATTGACGACGGTGGGCCATGGCCGTGCGGCAGCAGCGCGGACAACGGTGGGCCGCGGCTGTGCGGCGGTGGCGGACGACGGCGCGGCGCGGACGTGCAGCAGCGGCGGACGAAGGCTGGGCAGCGGCCGTGATTTGTTGAATGTTTTTATTTGCTTTCTTTTAGAATTGATTAGGTGATTTTGGATGAACTGTTGATGAATTGATTCGGTGTTTTTTTGGATGAACTGGATGAATTGAATGGATTGGATGGGGAAGGGGTGGGAACTGGATTGAGAACGGGAAGCTACCGCCGGAAACGGGGGTGGCTGCCCAATTTTTTTTTAGCGCTCGAAGCTATTTTCGCAGGCGGACCTAGCGCGCACCTGCGAAAATCAACTATTTTCGCAGGCATTGAGGTGCAGGCGGATGGCTTGTCCGCCTGCGAAAATATGATTCGGCCGACTGGGAAAAGAGTTTTTCTAGTAGTGAAAGAAAAGGAAGGGAAAGCACACTGTCATTTTGCTGCCACTGAGCAAAATGCAAGATGATAATACAGCGGAGGCCTAGCTGGCTAGCTCGGTGTTCTGCTTTACTCCATCCATGTGGTATTATCTCATTTACATTTATATTCCCATGCTGATTTGATCATGTCACACTACTAGTCATACCTACCCATGTGTAGTTCACATGGGCGAACAATTTAAACATGTACTCTATCTATGTACTGATGCAATGATAGAAATAGCTCTATTTAGGGAGTGTGGGAGTATTTCTTTTTCATTTGCTTTAAAAATATGTAAGACATTTTATAAATAGTAACATTAGGTTTCCTGTTGTGTTCATAGATACTCCATTTGTCTTAAAATATTGCTACTTCGTGTTTATATATATTTTGTCTCAACATATAGCTACTTCTCCACAGACTCTCATATCAAACAATCACAATGATTTCTCATTTAATTTCTATTTTCTCCATATAGTTACTCGTCTCAACAAATACAACCATCACTTATTTAATTTCAGCTCCTTCTCCTTGATATCTGTCAAAAACTCCATAAGTATTGGAGCTTTTTTTTAAGTGCGGTCAGCATAAAGCTGCATAAAGGTAGGCGCGACCAATGAGGAAGCGCCACCTGTCAGCTGAGTAAATAATGGGGTTAATTTACCCGAGGGGTATTATGGTCATTTGGACACCAACATAAACTCTAATCGTTAGTTTACTCTAGTCGTGATTCCACACCGAAAGAACGTACGCATTGTTAGAGTTCGCCGGAGAGGAGAAAGGAATCCCCGGAAAGCTAAGAGACGAGTGGAAAGTTCAGTTACGTGCTAGTTTTTATGGTTTACGCTCTATATCGCGTTACTATTGTAGATCGCGTTTAGAGAAAGCTATTGCATCGGCACACGTAAATAGTGGTACAAATGATCTGATGTAGAAGATCCTAGCTAAAACCAAGCGATTGTGGTTACATCTGGTTTACGTTGGTCTACAAATAGAAAATACAAAGTAAATAACCACATAAGATAGATATCACTCCTCTGGTATATGTTGTGAGAAAGAAAATATTTATGATGGGCCAGGCCCACCTAAACTTAGCAGGTAATCCTCTCAACTGTGTACTGAATAACGATAAGAGTAAATCCCACTGTCAATCCATTATGAAGCCCATTTTGGCAGTAACTATTTTATATAATAGTCCTTTATATTTCCACTATTATGAGCCAAACACAGCATCGGTTTTAATTTATTGTTAGCCCCTTATCATTATCCAAAATATTGAAAATGTGATATATATATATATATATATATATATATATATATATATATAATTTATAATTTTGTCAAGGTGTTGTCCTCGGGCCACCACCGTCCTCGGATTGCGGACGTAAACACATCGATTCTATTCATACGTTCGACATGCCTGTTTATGTGCGCAATCCCATCGTGTGCATAAACCATCCACATACACCGTGAACACCTAGCATACAGTGGTTTGCAAGTTGCGTTAAAGCCTTGTAGGCACGGGCAGGGGTGAACCTTGTAGGCACCTAGCGATCTCTGCGTACGCGTAGGGCGTGCACGACTCGCGAAATAGCATATCAGCCATCACGTACGCGTAAACTGTGTTGTAGGCGGTACTCTCTATGTACGTTTTTACGTAGGCATAATGCACACACCTCGGGCTGTTGTATGGGCGAGACGTGCGTGAAGCCTTACGCGTACGCGTGTGGTGATCGCGAGTTGCCTACATATAGTTCATGCATGTCCATGGATCGTGGACGTAAACTCATTCTTCGTGCGCGTACACTAAACTTTCAAACGTAGCATGGATATGTTTACACCTGAGATCCACACGTGGGCGTGTACCATGTAGAGCACCTCGCGATGCCCACGTACGCGTAAACCGCGCACGGCTTACATCGAATCGACGCGTCAACCCTTAGTTGTACCGTACGTATGTGCGCGACTGAGCCGTCCTCGCAGCCTCTTTCCCTGCCTCCTGGGCCTGACTTGCACGCTGGGCCTAATGGGCTGATGGGTGCCGGCTGGCTGGACTGGGGGAGGGGCACGGGGATGATCGATACATCCAACATCCAAAGTACTTAACACTAGAAATATAACTAGTAGTTCAACTATATAAACTACTACAATGTACTTGCATTTTTTCTGCTTCTTCCTCGGTGGCAAGTCTCCAGATGAACTGTCGTCCTCGTCCTCGTCTTCGTCGTCGTCATCGTCATCATCATATGATGCGAGCAGAGGATCCTTTACGTCAGCGTTCCAGTCTCCGAGACGTTTACAAAAATCATTCCGCAGTAGACAAATCGATACGTTAACATCCGAAAGACCCAATGATCCATATGAGTAGGCTCAATATGTTACGACTATATGGTTCTTACGGTGAATAGGTGAGAAATCACTTCATTTAGTATTCTTTTTATAAACAATAAAACAATTTCCCATGCATTTGCACGGGTTTCTTTCCTATGGAGTAGTTACATACATATACATACGCGCGCGGGGATCACGAGTTGCCTACATATGGTTCACGCCTGCACGTGGATCGTGGACGTAAACTCATCATTCGTATGCGTAAATTAACCTTTCGAGCGTAGCATGTATGTGTTTACACCCAAGATCCACACATGGGCGTGTACCATGTAGGGCACCTGATGGATGTGTTTTCGAGCCTTAGGCACATATGTCGCGTCTCGCGTGCAACAACCCTGCAGCGTAGGATGGATGTGTTTTCCCGACGTAGGAGTAATTGGTGGTGCATAACCCATTCACCTGTATGCGTACACCTTTTGACCGTAAATGGGGGATTTTTTACATGAACCTTTAGAGCGTAAATGGTGTACGCGTAACCCATTCGCGTCTGCACTAGCTCGCACCCTTGCTCAACAAAAAGAAAAAGGGCACGAAGAGATCCTCGCAAGACTCACCTCTCCGAACCCCAACCCCAATTAATTGTCCCCCAATTAACTGCCCTCGCCTCGCGACGCCTCGTGCCTAGCACGGAATAAACGCGTTGATTAGTGAAAGGAGATTACTACTATAAAGAAGGAAGCCCCCCTCTCGACTCTCTCGCTCACTCCCCTCTCTCTCTCTCTCTCTCTCTCTCTCTCTCTCGTTCCTCATAACTTCTCTCTTCGTCCGAATCCCAGCGAGATGGAGGGCGGCGACAATCCGCTCCTCTCTTGCGCTGGCAAGGAGAAGGGGAAGTGGAAGCGACCTGGGGGTTCCGGCGACAACCCCCTAAACCCTAAACCCATGTGCTCACTTGGATGGACACATTAAACATATCCTACCTCCATCCTAACATACAGCTATTTCTAGATAGCTACATATTTTGGGAGTGAGTGAGTATTCCTTTTCATTTATGAAAAAAAGTATAATACACTCTTATATATAGTAATATAGAAACTTAATCATATCGAAATTCAGCTACATCACATCTCATTTAAATCAATCATATTATCAATCACCTCTCATTCAATATCTTCATGTACTTTGTACAATTCAATATATTAATAGGCTGGTCCTAGACATCACAGTGGCTCGATCAACACTGCTTTCAAACAGTGTGACCAAGTCATTAGCATGATTAAGACTATAGCTAAAATTTGGGCTATTACACCTCCAACAAATTAATACATGTTCATTGGGTATCCTACACCAAAGGCAAGAAACTTTTAGTGTCCTGTAACAAATTTTTCCTAAATTTTTAGCCCTACATGTGATTTCTTTTTTTTAAAAAAAAAGAACATAACTATACCCCTAAATTAAATGGGTTGATTGGATCCATACCATTATAGATTCTCAG